AAAGCCTGTGACCACTGTAATCATGTGACCCCTGACCTCTGTAAGCCCGTTACACATGACCTCTGAAAGCCTGTGACCACTGTAATCATGTGACCCCTGACCTCTGTATGTATGCCTATGACCCCTCTAAGCCTATGACCCCTGACCTCTGTAAGCCTTTTTACACATGACCTCTGTAAGCCCGTGACCCCTGACCTCTGTAAGCCCGTTACACATGACCTCTGAAAGCCTGTGACCACTGTAATCATGTGACCCCTGACCTCTGTAAGCCCGTTACACATGACCTCTGAAAGCCTGTGACCACTGTAATCATGTGACCTCTGACCTCTGTATGTATGCCTATGACCCCTCTAAGCCTATGACCCCTGACCTCTGTAAGCCTTTTTACACATGATCTCTGTAAGCCAGTGACCCCTGACCTCTGTAAACATGTGACCCCTGACCTCTGTAAGCCTGTTAGACATGACCTCTGTAAGCCCGTGACCCCTGACCTCTGTAAGCCTTTTACACATGACCTTTGTAAGCCAGTGACCCCTGACCTCTGTAAACATGTGACCCCTGACCTCTGTAAGCCTGTTACACATGACCTCTGTAAGCCTGTGAAGCCTGACCTCTGTAATCATGTGGCCCCTGACCTCTGTAAGCCTGTTACGCATGACCTCTGTAAGCCTGTTACACATGACCTCTGTAAGCCCGTGAACCCTGACCTCTGTAATCATGTGGCCCCTGACCTCTGTAAGCCTGTTACGCATGACCTCTGAAAGCCTGTGACCACTGTAATCATGTGACCCCTGACCTCTGTAAGCCTATGACCCCTGACCTCTCTAATGCTGTGACCCCTGACCTCTGCAGGTCAGCACCAGCACAACAGCTCCGCAGTGGCAGCCGCGCAGCAGGGCGGGTACGAGATCCCGGCGCGGCTCCGGACCCTCCATAACCTGGTGATCCAGTACGCGTCCCAGGGCCGCTACGAGGTGGCGGTGCCGCTCTGCAAACAGGCTCTGGAGGACCTGGAGAAAACCTCGGGACACGACCACCCCGACGTGGCCACCATGCTCAACATCCTGGCGCTGGTGTACAGGTGAGGGGCCCGGCCGAGACCCGCGTCAGAGCCGCGTCAGAACCGTGTCTGATGACATCATCCTCTGTGTGTGTGTGTGTCTCAGGGATCAGAATAAGTATAAAGAGGCGGCGCACCTGCTGAACGACGCGCTCTCCATCCGAGAGAAGACCCTGGGCAAAGACCATCCCGCCGTAAGTCTTCTTATACGCCGCGGTTATCTCTTTGCTGTTTGAGTCGGGGAAGTTTCTATATTCAATTCACATTTGTTTGTGTAGTGTATAGTTCACAACACACACCGTCACAAAGCAGCTGTACAGAACATGCACGAGTCCACATTACAGTTTACAGTCATCTGATTGGCCTGGTGGAGTTCGGTTATGGAAAGGGGCGGGGCTTTCCCAAACACACTCAAAGCGCTCGACCAATCACAACACACTGCTCCAGCCGACCAATCAAAGCACAATCAGAGTGCATTTTTTCAGGAGGAGGGGCTTCATAGAGACAGGAAGTGAACAGAGCGTTACTGACAGACTGGGAAGAGAGGAGCCGCAACAGTGGAGAATATGAGGAGAATAATCAACATTCACGTTCTAGGAGAGCCTGAACACATGGGCATCAGGGTTTTGCTCAGGGTCAGGTGTTGATCTGTGTGTGTGTGTGTGTGTTCCAGGTCGCAGCCACTCTGAATAATCTGGCTGTGCTGTACGGGAAGAGAGGCAAGTATAAGGAGGCGGAGCCGCTGTGTAAACGAGCGCTGGAGATCCGAGAGAAGGTCAGTGAGCGTCACACACACATCACTCATAATGGGGAATTTCATATTCAGGGCCTGTGGGATTAAAAGCAGCGCTCGTACAAGGGCCTTGAAGTGCTTGAAATTGACCTTTGACCTTTAAGTCCTGGAAAACAGCCATATTTGTGAAAAGTGCTTGAATTTTTGAAAGATGTGTGTGTGTGTGTGTGTCAGGTGTTGGGGAAGGATCACCCTGACGTGGCGAAGCAGCTGAATAACCTGGCGCTGCTGTGTCAGAACCAGGGCAAGTATGAGGAGGTGGAGTATTATTACTGCCGGGCTCTGGAGATCTACGAGTGCCGGCTCGGGCCCGACGACCCCAACGTGGCCAAGACCAAGAACAACCTGGTGAGTGTGTGTCCAACTGCAGTTCTGCTGCTTTTATACAACGCCAGACGCTATCAAACACACACTCCATATTTGCATTTTCCTCATTATGCCCATGTGAGCCGGCGTCGGCCATCTTTGAGGGTTCAAGAGTTGCAGATCTCGACAGCATGTAGATGTGACCTGGAGAACTTGTACAGTAAATATTGGTTCTTGTTCGCTGAAATCCACTCTCGCACTTCCAGAAGACAGGTGTGTGTGTGTGTGTGTGTGTGTGCACTGCGAGTGTCTCCACATCCGGATTGTTATTTTACAGTTTTTCACATTGCCGTTGAGTGTGTAGAGTTTAGCATAGTGTGAATATTTACTGTACAAGTTCTCAAAGTCACATCTACATCCTCGAGTTCTGCTACTCTCTCACACACACACACACACACACACACACACTCGTCTCACAGTGATGCTCCTGGTCTCTCCGCAGGCGTCCTGCTTCCTCAAACAGGGCAAATATAAAGAAGCCGAGGTTCTGTATAAAGAGATTCTGACCCGCGCTCACGAGAAGGAGTTCGGATCAGTGGACGGTGAGACACACTCACTCACACACACACACACACACACACACACACACACACACACACACTCACGGATCATTACAAGAACAGCACAGTAACCATGAGCACTACACGTCACACACTTTACACAGGCTGACCTGCAGTGAGTGTGAGTGAGAGACCGTAATCAGAGAGCATCATGGGTAACCTGTGTCTCCTGTGTGTGTGTGTGTTTGCAGCTGAAAACAAGCCTATCTGGATGCACGCGGAGGAGAGAGAGATGAGCAAGGTGAGTGTGTGTGTGAGCAAGTTTGAAATATGACTTTTGTGTGTGATTGAAACATGACTTGTGTGTGTGTGTGTGTTGGTCTGCTGTCACTCACTCTGTGTGTGTTGTTCAGGGGAAGCACAGAGACAACACGCCGTACGGAGAATACGGAGGCTGGTACAAAGCCTGTAGAGTCAACAGGTACACACACACACACACACACACACACACAGACGGGCCCGTGATGTCATCGTGCGGCTCATGGTAACCGTGGCGACGGGTTACTTCAGTAAGCGGAGTCTCAGAGTTGTTGTCGCTGCGTGTCGTGCTCATCTAAGCAGAGCTGCTGTCCTCCCGCAGTCCGACGGTGAACACGACGCTGAGGAACCTGGGAGCGCTCTACCGGAGACAGGGCAAGATGGATGCGGCCGAGACCCTGGAGGACTGTGCCATGAGGTCACGCAAACAGGTGCGCACACACACACACACACACACACACACACACACACACACTGTGTGTTCTGATGTTGACCGTGTGTGTGTGTGTGTGTGTCAGGGCCTGGACCCGGTGCATCAGTCGCGTGTGTCGGAGCTCCTGAAGGAGGGTGAGCGCCGCAGAGAGTGTGTGTCCAGTGTGAAGTACGAGAGCGGCTCCGAGGCGGGCGATGAAGTGAGTATGGCAGTGGAGTGGAGCGGGGTGAGTACACATCCACCAACCGACCAATCACAGCGCAGCGCTCGGCAGGGGCGATGACATCAGCAGGGCATCAGCGTCCTCCTCCAGTCACAAACATCCGCACATCGAGAGGCGTTTCCACTGAGCACGGCTGGAGATATCAAGTGTTGCATTCAAATAAAGTGAGTTTGTGCTTCAAACGGGGAAATCTCCCTCACCCTGGACTGTTTCTGACCCCATTCACATATATCTGTTCTTATTTAAAGCCATCAATCATTTTACCCTTAAAACCATAGACTGTATAACATATTTCTGACGTCACTTGTAGTGTTTCTGAAGCCCAAAGTGGGCGGAGCCAGTGTCACTCCCGGATAAACGAACATGTGACCTGAGGGGACGGGACGCTAACACA